AAGGGGGCAAACTGAGGATATAAAAGAAAAAGAAACGTTGAATAAATTACACAGACCGTCGTGGATGTTGAGAAGAAGGAAGTTATTTGAATTTAATAACGCTGCAAAACATCACTACGAGGCTTAAATTGCTGTTTTCTGAGTTGTAGCGCCATGCAGTCTAGCAGAAGCTTACCATCGTTTCACAGGGCGATGAGCACCCTGACGATGGAGGCAAAGACCATAGTCGTCCCGATGATAAACTTCTACCATACTACACGGCGCTACAACCCAGAAGACAACCATCTTCGAAATCACCGCCGTGAAAACCTCAAATCCCATCACGAGGATTCTAAGAGTAGTTTACATCTTTAAAACACAACGATAAAAATATACACCACATAATTTAACAATTATTAAATATTTATTTTGCACACAGAGAGCATTTATGGGTTTCGTGTGGTTTTTACTGTAAATATCGATTAATTCCTTAAACAGCATTAACCACTTGGTATCTGTAATGAAGAAGTTCTGCGTTTACTTTGAGGTATAGATTTAATTTTTAAATATTATTTAGACGTAATTCGTGTTCAAGGCTTTAAACAAATAAGGGAGCGTTCCTTGAGGTCAGAAGTTTCACATACATAAATACAATACAAAGACAAGTAACATTATTTGGTAAGCAATCGAGACGTTGTTGGCCGGATAAAATGTGATAACGTAAACCTAACCCTGACCACCTGGAGCTGTATATCTCTGGAAATGAAGATGCAATTCTTACACAATTCCGGAAATTCTTTAGTACGTAAAACAAAAACTTTTAGACTGTAATAACTTATTCGAAAGTTACGTTAGTTCTGTCTTTCTATTATTCATTCACTTTTATTTTTTTTAAAGAAAACATTGATTTCGAAATGTTGATTAATATGCTTCGTCACTTCTAAAAGCCCAGAACGTTCTTTCTGGAAAAGAAAACAATTTTTGAATTTCCATTGTTGTTTTTCTTTGTTTGGACTTTGCTATATGTTGAAGGGATTGTCACTTATTTTAACATATAATATGATGAAAAATTAATATATTGTATTTTATTTGTATCCAAAGTTTCTATCTCGCAACTGTGTCTCCAAAAATACAATTATTTTATATATGAGTTAGACGGAGTTAAATTTCATGTTACAACTGACCAAATTAACAGATTTCATTGTAAAGCCAGGGAAATAGTGCGGAGAACACGACTTCATTCTTGCCTCCCAAAATGTTTGTAACCAAGAAAGATACAGCGTTCAAAACTGTGAGAACAAATAATTTAATTTATCTTATAAACGTAATGAAGGTCTGCCTAGGTCTCTGTATTCATAGGGAATTTGCCAAAAAGGTAGAACGTAAATTCTGCGTGATGGAAGTGGAAACAATAGAACTGTGATTGCGGTGCGTTGCTTAGCAACATCATTACAACAAATAAGCCACGCCACAAGCTGAAACACGGTTTGTTCGCGATGCATGTTTTTGCATATTAATTCCCCTTTTTAACGATATAGTAGGAAGACACTCAACATTCTGTTCAAATCCCCCTGTCTTTCCCCCCCCCCCCGACTGTCTTTTTACTCATTACAACATATCAGACACTGTGAAGTGTACAAGGTTGCATTATTTTGTATTTTGTCTATTAGGATGAACGAAAAAGAAGTTTTTCAAAGTAGAGAAATCAAATTGTTTTTAATTGTAAAAGCGATAGATTCTGTATTCATTGACCTTGGTAGCAGGCTTTGAGGTGCCCTTTTCACATTTTCAATATAATGAAAGCATAATTTGAAGATCGTGTATATCTACCCCGCTACACGTTTTAATCCCCAACGGATTTCAACGGAATTTGGAAATTACTGTCTGCATTAAAAGTGGTTCATCGAGTTTCATAAATGATATTTGTCGGTCTAATATATCCCTTCTTTCTGCATGAAGTTTATATATTTTCTAAAAAAAATGCCTCGTGTTATAAAACACTGGTTCATAATATAAAACACCCCCAACTTATAACTCAAGGTGCTAAAGAGTGTGATATTTACTGATGAAAGACCAACTTCGTGCTGAAGCAGCTTGTCTTTGCTTGAAAATTAAAATTGCTAACTCGTCTTTCTTTCGCGAAAGATGTAACAATTGTAACATCTGGAGTAACACAACCCATAGCAACCCTAATTTTTATTTCATACCATATGTGATGCCATCTATGAGTTTTTCTGGCTTTCACCAGCTGTGACGTCACTTAGAAGAAAGTCGTCGTCTTCTTTTTTGGAAAACTTGTTAAAGAGTTCAGACCACAGACGACGGGTTTATTACTAGAAGTTTCAGCGACGTCGGAATACGGTACAAAATTAACTATAAACGCCCCTAATAACAATGTGTGAGTGTTAAGTAGGTGCAGTGATACAGAGATTACAGGATCATTCAAGAGAACATAAAGTGAAATATCCCTTAAAATTAATAGAGTTCCATCAGATTTTTCAATTTGTATGTGGAGTAGTTAAAAATACCATAAACATCTTAGATTACGTAGCGTCGAATCAGTAACTAATTTTAAAGGATATTGAAGGAAGTTGTTATGGCCTAATTTAAGACACAATGCCGTTACTTGCTTAGTGTGACTGAGGAAATTCAAGAAACATTTAGATGAGTACAGTTATTTTAAGAAAACCTCGGACGATGAACTGTTACATCAGCTATTTTCAACGTGACACTAATTTTTCACGTGTATTGAAAAATTTCTATTCAGTTCGTAGGCAGAACGGTCGAAATATTGCTTCGTTGCGTTTTCTTATTATCACTTTATATCCAGAGAAAAACTCTGGCAAGATCACTTTTCACTGTTCCCATCACCTTTTTACACACCTCATCCTCACCTCTATTCCTCCCCCTCAATTCATCTGAAATGCTTGGCTGTCCTTGCGATGATGTCATACCAAGTTACCCCCTCAAGACCCATAGTCATACTACAGAGCAATCGGCCAAGGGTAGCTGATAGGGTTGATCACGGGAAGTGTGGGGGTTACGAATAAAGCTCTCGACTATCTCACCCTGAGAGGGTGTCACACATACGGTTCGGCTGAAGCTATCCAGTTCAAAACGGGCGTAAGTGACTGGTAAAATCACCGACGTAGTTGAAATCAGTAAACAAAAACAGAAGAAATTGTTAAGATTCCTTATTAAACACTCTTGTTTTGTATCTGGAACATCCAGGGTTCAAATAAATGCCGGGAAACGAATTAAGCTCATTTACGTTTTCGTGATTTTGGGATATTACCTTAAAGTAAACTACGACTATTGTATTAAAAATATATTAAAATTGGCCGTCAATCACAATATAAGATAATTAAAAGATTAAAATATTATCTTTTGTTCCGTATAGAGTACTCGATTTACATTTACGACATGTTTCGGCTATCATAGAGCCGTCATCAGGTGTTACGTTATAAACTTTTTAACTGAATTACTGATTTTTAATGATTTTTAATTTTCATTTTTTTTATCATTTTCTCGTCCTTCATATTGTATCATCATCCGTTGTTGTGTCACACGTTCCTAATATAATTGCATTGTCGTAGCGATGCCAATGTAGTACTCGATACGGAACGTAAAATGATATTTTAATCTTTTAATTATCTTATATTGTGATTGACGGCCAATTTTAATACATTTTTAATACTATTAAAATCACAATATGACACACCTACAATATCTTACGACTATTGTCTTCCGTGAATTTTTCAATTCATCATTTCCCATCAGTAAACTCTGAGAAAAAGATGTGAGGTTGGAAAAGCGTCGTTAAATAACCCAATAATAAATCAGAAACAAGTAGTTCAAACATTTTATGCCAAAGCTCGTCCAAATAATATTTACAAATCAGTCCGTACTTCAACGAAGACAGAACTTTTTGCCACTAAAAATCAGATGGTTAATGCTTTTAACGACGTAATCCAATTTTACATTGAGAACTGTGAAAACCCACAAATATTAAATACAGAGTTACAATCTGATGCATATGGTTACCACTAGGCTAAAGTGTTAAATAGTCCCTGATTTAAAAGGAAACTGTCCGAAAATAATAAATGTTACGTCCGTTTGAGATTTTAATGGCACAATGTTTGCTGCAGCTGATAAACATCATGGACAGAACAGTATTTTAATATGAAATTCGTAATGCTAAAAATAAGCGCACGTGCTGAGTGTTTATCTCATTTAGTAACAGACTGTAGTACCTTACAGTTCCGTAGTGCAATCACGTGACGCGCCAAACCAAGGCTACAACTGACCAATCAGCTAAGTTGAAGCATCGTGTGACTGGAAATAGCTGGTAGTGGGAGACAACTTTGCTTTGCGATGTTTACTGTGTTTAAAAATTGTGTCATCTCTAATTTATGTTACGTATTGACGATCCACCAACGGCTATTATTTTTTGTTGCTTTTATTATTAGTAAATCAATAAATTTGCGCTCGGTGATAGTGTAATGTTTTATTTCGATATTAGAGATAATCTACAGTCGATTTACGTCATGGCGGGTACTGGTTTCCTTTGTTTTATTCCCGCGTTTAAGTGGAACACATACAGCAGTGTGATGTGATGTGATGTGATTTTAGTGTTGTGATTTCAAATTGTGTGTTTCTTTAGTGTTACTATAATGTGGAAATAAATGTGGAAATAAATGTGAGAGTGTAGTGTGGTGTGACGTATATGTGAGAAGCGTAACCTTACAAACGACATAAATATATGACAAGACACACCTATCCGAGTATCAGCAATGGTGAGTACGACAATTATATATACAAATACTTTTCATTGATTCAGTTGAACATCTATTTACAATATATACACAATATTTCATCTATATAATAAGCAAGTGTTTGCTGGCAACTTGGTGGTTGGCTGCTGGGGGGATTTGGGGCCGTATGGAATACTTATTATTATGTGCGTTCATTATTTTACATTTTCCCGTCATATGTAAGTATTAATATAATATGGAACTTACCAGTAGTGATGTGAAGATGTTGTCCGGGCGTTTATGTTTGTGGAAACTGTAGGCAAGTCTTGCCGCACTAATTTTCTTCATGCAGTTGAGTTTGACACAGTTTTCTCAGGAAACGATGCACGTTGTTTGACCGAGTTCTATTAATCCGAAGGTCTTCGTTCACTTGCATAGCACATTAAAATTTTACCAAGTTACTTTCACTTCAGTTTCAGTACGACCTGAACAGTAGGCCTAATGGCGTTGTACGTGAGTTGGAATTTTCCACATGTAAACCAATGCCACTTTACACGTTCTTCTGAGAACCACCGTTACCTGACAAGAAGAATTGTGATAATGCAGAATATTATTATTTGTTTGTTTATCTAAATAGGTGACACAGTATCTTGACGATTGAAACAAAACATTCTGAATAACGTTGCCCGCACTGCTTGCAGGTGGACACGTTTCCCAGCCGCTTCACTTTCTTGCATTGTATCCTTCCGCCGTTCCGCGACAGGGGGTTTCTTAAATAACTTCCCTGTATGATTTCGCTTCTGTCTTTAAAAATAATTACAAATAAACTTTATATTATAATAGGTAAGGCATAAGTTAGTGAAACTAGTTGATAGGGGCTAGACAAATATTATTTATTCCTGACAGAGCAGGGTTTATTGTTTCCCCATTACGTTTAACATCTTATCCGATGGGGCAGGGACTGCTTTCCCAGGGGTTAAGAGACTGGGGTCGAAGCAAACCACTCTCTAGCTAAATCCGAGGTTAAATATATACACGTGTTAACTTACATTACCACCATACGTCTTCATAGTCTCATGTTCAATACAACAAAATTTACAAAGATAAATAGCTTACGGCCCGTCATAATGAACAGAAATCAAACTTCTTGTGTCGAACATACTTACAATTCAAAACAAAGAGTTAATGAAGATGACAGTCTTCTGGTATATTGTATCATGTTGTCTCGCAGAATGTGACCGACGTTTCAGAGGTACGTACTGCCTCCATCATCAGGGCGTTGAGGTCCGACGAAGGTACGACGCACCTCTATAACTTCAGTCATCTTCCACAAAATAATCCAGTGCAATATCCCATAATCGCCGACATGAGAACCTGAAATAGTACATTAACGTTAATAATTACATTTGCCTTGGATCGTTGATGCACTCATTTTGCGTAGCTTTGTAACCAAGTAGAAACTCCAGATCGAAAAAGACGAGTCTCTCGTGACAAATAAACAAAAGCTGAACAGTGGATTGGACGAGACATCTTACCAGGTCGGCAGTTTGAAGTGAATTCTATATGTAGGAACATAAACATATTTTGGTGATATTTATTGTGGTTAATTAATTCATTATTTCTTTCAATACTATGAACGACAACGAGCCTGGATAGCTCAGTCAATATAGTGACTAGCTACGGGCTAGACGACTGGGGTTCGATCCCCGACGGAAGCAGAGGATTCTTTTTCCTCTAGCTTCTGCGTCTACCTCTGGGGCCAACCCAGCCTCCTCTGCAATGGGTACCGGGGTCCTTTCCCGGGGGTAAAGCCGGCCGGGGCGTGATGCTGACCACTCACCCCCATCTAGTGCCGAGGTCAAGGAAGAGAGGAGCTATACCTCCTCTCACCCCAAACGCCTACATGGCGCATAGCGGGACAAACTTTACTTTACTTTTACTATGATCGACAAAGACTGCTGTTTGAGGTTGGTGTCTTATTTTGTCACATCTTTGGTGAATGTGTCTATGTCACAAGCAAGCAGTGACTAGGTTCACCAAATGCCCTCTTCAGGTACATTCCACATAGTACTATCAATCAGTGTGGCCTACTATAATTGTTGTTGTCTTGCAGTCGGTATGTTTGCCCAGTGCTTCAGATCCCATGTCATGGCACGGGGACGCCGAATGCGGAGTGCGCAGTGCCTCAATGAGACATCTCGATTACGTAGACCCTCTTATTCCACTAAGCGTGACAGTTCTGAAGCATATTGACAGGTGGAGGGAGGTGGCTCTGATATTAAACAAGCTCGACTGAACTTCATGCACTTACTAAAACATATAACATTTTCTTGATTAATTTTATGTCCCGAGATAAACAAATGACGGTCTGTATCAATCTTACCGTCCTCTTTCCGGAAGGAAATTGGCCTTTAAGGTAAGAAACTTCATTCAAAATTAATATTTTCTGTCTTAAAATGTTATTTCATGTTTTTTTTAAATGATTACAATCCTTTAAAATATTAGCGTCTGTAAGGAAACTGCGCTATATGTCTACAGCATACATGGCGAGAAGGCGTAGTTAAATAAACATTGGTCTTTAAATGGTCAAAGAGGCAAATGTAGTAAAATTTAACAAAAAAAAAAGGTGTCTGAGGTTTGCACTAAATTCAATATGACCACTGATTCTGTAGCACTTGTCCATGGGCTTAATAGGCGAATTCCAATGTTGATCTGTATGAAGCTTTTAAAACGCTTTCCTGTGACAACAGCGGACTTTTGCTGCGATACCAAGCAGCCCTAAATATTGATTCAATTCTTCCTTTCGTATTGGAGTTCTTTCTGCCCTCTTTCCTAGTCTATTGTTATCGTAAAGTGCATTCTCTTATCTAGAATAGCTTCCACGGTCGTGGTTTTGTAATTGGTGTGTGCCACACGTAGGATGGCCTCTGTATTTATGGCTAGATTTCCTTATTTTAAATGCCTTGCTGTGCTTCAAAGATATATATTGTCTCTCGAAGGATATTCAATCTGCGGGCAAAACACACACCCTCATCTACCCTTAAACAAACAAAGCTACCAGATGAAATTTCCGAATGTTTGCAGTAGATAAATATTCCACCCCATACTTCATAATTAGATCACTGAAAGCTTAAGTAAGTGATGGATAACGATGACTTAATTCAAATACTAATTCTACGAATGTCATGTCGATTTCGTATTGGCCTGTGAGAAACTTTGGGGCTCGAAATAATAAAGATAACTTCTTTCTTTATACTCTTTTGGCTCCCATGTGGAGCATAGGGATCCTCCTTTCGGAGTTTTCTTTAATCTATTTAGACATCTGGTAGGGCCGGTATAGGTCAGTCAGTTTAGTGACTAGCTACGTGCTGGACGACTGGGGTTCGATCCCCGACGGAAGCAGAGGATTTTTTTTTCCTCTAGATTCTGCGTCTAGATTGGCTCTGGGGTCCACCCAGCCTCCTATTCAGTGGGTACAAGGATCCCTTCCCGGGGGTAAAGCGCGGCCGGAGCGTGATACTGACCACTCACTCCTATCTAGTGCCGAGGTCAAGACTTACATGACTTGTAGCGGGACTGATTTACATTTTTTTTGAACTCATTGGACGAGTGATAAGCCCTTCGCAAGGTCTCTTCCTGCGCACAGGACATAAAAATACAGAAAGTCACGGAGTGTCTTGAGTGAGATTCAAACCCACGGTCCCAGCACCCAAGCTCACAAGGCCAACGCCTCAAACCGCGCGGCCACTGTGACAGGCAGTCATTTAATATCCCTCATTTTAAAAAAAAATTCAGATACAAATCGTAGAAATTAATTACATTTAATGGACTGTGTTGTACAATGCACTAATTTTACGATTTATTCTATTTTACAAGAAATGGATCTAATTGGTACAAACCACGTTTGGTTGAGACGTTTGTTGATGTCATGTTCGTTACGAAGTATAAATGGCCAACATTTATGACCATGGAGTGTGACGTATGTGGGGGGGGTGATCAACTTCGCAAAAGCACTTTTCCATACCAGAAAAATAATTTCCTGTCATCGGCGCCCAGGTCTTCCAAGTTTTCTTTTTCACACAAATATTCCCGCCAAATTTTTTGAACTCAAGCTACAGAACTTTAGAGAATTTCAACTTCTGCTGTAATTCATCACCCCCTTTTTTAATCCTTGGTTCCGTGTGCTTAGGCGGGGTGCATGTAGGTGAAGCTCCGTACATTCATAATGTCGGCGAGTGGTGAAATCATGGTCTGGTGCGCCTTTAAATGTGATGTTGAGTGGGCATCAGAAGTATTTGGACATGGTGGCTAAGTGTACGCCTGCTTCTGCTGGAAATTGAACCCACCCGTCCTGTTAGAATGAAAAGAGGGATTATAATTTTGTTTGAAAATAAACACTTTGGCGGCAACAACAAGTGGAAAAGTACTGAAGGTAGAGAACCCTGCTACCTGTTGTCCATAAACTTGAAACCCGCTTAGAGTTTGTGCTGCTCTCTAGTAACTACATTTTGTATCTTGTACGCTATAGCCGACGTAGTTCGGATCCACGGGACAGATGTCAGGCCTGTAAAGAATTTGTGAAATAGGAATACTTCATTGAACAACAACAATTAACAGCAACAATTACCACTAATACGGTCCCCTAGTAAGGTAAAGGCTAAACGAGGCAGTCCACTTTATTCTATTATGGTAAGACACCCTTTTTATCCCACGCAACAACAGTGTTGATAAAGCTCTGTAAATTTTAATATTTATTTTTTTTAAAAAAAAATAGTGATGACATCATGAAAGATTCTAAACTTAATTGTAGGAAGCATTCTCCAATTTAGTCCTCTCTTAAATTCTTCGTAAATAAAAACTAGTAACACTGCATAATACCGTTTATCATAAAATTTATTTTCTTATAAATCCGTGTCTTATGGACAAAACTAAAACTTCATCATAGAAGGGCCGATTCTGATAGATATGATTGTGTTATTTAATTCTGAATAGCTGAGATCTGTAAGTCCTTGCTACAGCCCTCACTGTAACACCAGCCTCTCCTATACCCCCTCCAACCACCCTCAAGTACCTGGATTAAACATAATTTTGTATCAGAAAATAAAACAGTTGTATCTCATTTCAATGGAGTCACGTCCAACCCTTTAAATTTAACCGGTATCTGCCTCTATTTTCCGTTGTCCTCTGAGTGCGTGGGCTGTTTTCAGCTGACTCAAAATATAGTACCATCTATCAGCAACGTAGTTCATCATAGGCTTATGCGTTTCATTAATGAGAAATTCGTTTTCACTTGCCAAAGACTTGCAAAGACGAGGATTTAGTGTACATGTAAGCAATGTGCTACTTCAAGAGTCGTTGGTTAGAACAGCGATCATAACTTTACATTCGAACTAAGGACTCGCCGTGAGACTGTATCGCTGCTACGAGACTCTATTACCAGCCATGGTTTGCTATAAACTGTTTCGTTGTCACACCTGCTTTTACGCTGTAATTTCAGGTTTAAAGCATACAACGGTGATGGTTCATCGCTCGTGAAATCGATAAATTATTACTTCCATCGACACAAAAAGAGGTCTGAGTCGTTCGGAGACGTATATAGTTGCTCGTAATTTGAAATAGCTTTGAATCTTGATGTAGAGTAATCTGGTTTATGATGACGTAAAATAAGCATCCATCATATTAGCGAGATTCGAAGTCTGCATTCTGATCACATAAGGCTTCGATTGGTATAAACAGTTATTGAGGTAAAAGCAACTTATGTCATAATCTATTATTTGAATTAACAAAATTAGTGAACTTTTATTATTATTATTATTATTATTATTAAGTGTTCTGTCTTACGACAGGTCCATTGCTCTGCCCAAAAAGAGCTCTCCAGTTGTCCCTATTCTCGGCTTCTCGCTTTAATTCCTGAAACGTCATATTCTTTCCTTGTTTAAGGTCGTCGGTTAGCTGTATCAATCTTCTTCCTAGTCCTCTCTTTCCTTCAACCTGGCCTTCGGTGATATCACTCATTAACCCATTCCTTCTCATAATATGTCCCAGCCAGTTAGCTTTCCTTCGTGTAATCGCCTGCAGAATGCTTCTTTGCTCGTTGACTCTTAGTGAACTTACCGATAGGATAAATACTCAGATATAAGTCGTTAAATAAGTGATTAAATAAGATTTGTAATTTTTATTTTATTTAATGTTTCCTGCATTAGCTCAAATTTATGCCGTATTCCCTAGGTTTTGATATATTCCGTAGAATTCATATAATTGAGCTCACAGATAATAATTTTGTTCTTCCAAAAAGTGATTAAATATGGGTCACTCTCGTGTTCATCTTCGTCTTTCGCTCTGGACTTGAATACAAATGCTTGGTGTAG